AATGCTGGTATAACAATGTTCAAGAAATGTCCAAGTTAGCTCAAGTTTCAACTCCAAGATGTCTAAAACCTGAAAACACAACTGGACCTCCTCAACTGCACGCATTTTCAGACGGTGGAGATTTAGCCTATGGCACTTGTGTGTTCTTACGGTGGCCTACAACAGGTGGAGTTAAGCTAACATTCGTTGCAGCAAAAGGATTTGTGGCGCCACTCAAACACAAAAGTACTCCAAGAAAGGAGCTAATGGGAGCAATAGGCATGAGCAGATTGGTGCATGAAATAAGTAAAGCACTACCGTACAATATTGCATTCAAATATTTCTGGATAGACAGCAAAGTTGTTATTTATTGGTTGAATTCCCAATCTGGAAAATTCAAACCATTCGTTGCTTCAAGAGTACAAGAATTTCAAGATACACATAAGAATCTAACAAAAGAAGTCAAATTCATTCCAAGTCTTCTTAATGCTGCAGATTGTTTAACAAAACCTATTTCCTGCGAGAAGCTTACAATTTGGCATGAAGGACCTGAATTTCTAAGGCAACCAATGGAATATTGGCCGAATGATGATGACTTAAAATTAGATGAATTACGTCAAGAAATATTGGAAGAAAAACCACCAACTAAGTCAAAAGCATATCGCGGAAAAAGACAATTCAACGTCGTTAAAGCAGATTTGCCTTATCAAAATGATAATGATTTAGCGGATAATTTTTCTTCATGGCAAGACTTGCTAAGAGCGACAGCTTGGATGAAGGGTGCATTTCAGCAAAAATCATTTGTCAATTTGGAATTTAAACCTGCCGATGTCGTACAATACATAGAGAAAGCAAAATTGTGTATATTCAGAATTTGTCAAAAATCTATGATTGATGAATTTGGGAAGGCTGTCAAAACTCTATGGAAATTAGACTTGTTATTCGATTCTCACGGAATTCTTCGTATTGGTGGAAGACTGAATAGAACTGATTTATATATGGAAATGAAGCATCCAGTCGTGCTTCCGGGCAAACATTCCCTCGTTCGTCTTCTTGGAGTGTTCTATCATAAAAAGTTCTTACATCAAGGGTATCGAGTTATATTGGCAAATATGAAGAATGACGGTATTGTTCTTATTGGTGGAAGAATACTCTTAAAATCAATAGCATCAATGTGTATATTTTGCAGGATTCGTCGTAGAAAGTTGCTACAGCAACGCATGGGAGAACTTCCTTCATTTCGAATGCAACCACAGATGGCACCATTCAATTCTGTAGCAATGGATTTTTTCGGATACTTGAAAGTAAAGCAATCTCGAAATGTAGTTATCAACGCGTCTGTTTTAATTATTACATGTGCAACCACTCGTTGTATTCATCTGGAACTGTGTCTGGCTCTGGATACTAATTCGTTCCTTCGGGCATGGAGACGATTTGTATCTATAAGGGGAATTCATCCTGCTTTTGTATTTTCCGACGGAGGTACTACATTTCAAGCTAGTCAAGCGCCTATCAAGGAATGGATCGAGAAATGGAATTTTCAGTTGATTCAACATGAGATGGCAGAGAATCAAACGAAATTTGATTGGAAATATAATGTGCCTTACGCGTCACATATGAATGGAGTAGTAGAATCGCTTATCAACTCGGTTCGCAAAGCACTCGATGCATCAGTGGTGAATTACAGCAGGGCTCTTATGACCTACGAAGAATGGACAACTGTTCTCAACGAAATTACTTATATCATCAATAGTCGACCACTTTTCCCAGATGGAAACCCTTTGGAATATAATTGTATTACTGGCAATACTCTTTTACATCCATATGCAAAGCAGGTAGTCCCTCAAACTACACAAGAAGAGAGATTCAATCCACGAGACATGCTAAAAGTGGCGGAAAACAGAGTTGAGGTGTTCTGGAAAACATGGATGAAACACATACCGCCTCAGCTATTACTTGCTAACAAATGGTTTCGAACAAGACGCAATCTTCAAGTTGGAGATTACGTATTAATTCTTCAACCTGGATTTAAAGGCGGAAGTGCACCCAGAGGTTTATGGAAAAAAGCACTGGTTCACAACATTATGCCCAGTTCAGATGGCTTGGTGAGAAGTGTTACAATCAAAGACAGCGATGGGAATTTATACAATCGACCAATACATAAACTTTGTCTAATTGCGACCAAAGAAGAGCTACAGTGTGGGTTGAAAGACATCTAATCTCATATCAGTTACTCCGAGTCAACAATGTTCAATATTATCGTCTTTTTCATTGCATTCATAGACTGGGGGGGAGTGGTTTGAACATTTGACTGATTTATCTTGGTACTACTTACTTTTGGTGTGTTTACGTATGGTTCACTGCATCGCGATTATTGGCTGATTACTTGATTACTTCTTGTTATGGTTAACTGTCTAGAGCTTTAGTCTGTCTTTAGATCTGTTCTCATAAGCTTGTTAATGGTGCTATAGTCATTGGATATGAATAATCTATTTCTTAAGTTTCTTACATTGGGATAATCTGTTCTGACAAAGCCTCATTTAAATGTAAGTGAATTGGTATATTCTTGCTTTGTATTGTGCCTGGTTGCCTGTACTCATTTTAATATTCATCTTTATTGTTTGTCAGGTCACTTTGTCTTACTGATATCTGGATTAAATCACTTTGGGAGAAATCTATTCGTTTCATTTCGGGATATTAGTTAAAGAGACATAGTAGGCAAGGGTGATTTGTCAATGGGCAGAAATCCAAATTAATGGTCCCTAAATATGGTAACACATTTCAATCCAGTGCGGATCTCGGCATTCTTGAAGAATGTATTTTGGCAAAGGCAGTTATTTCAGTTTGCACATTCGAAACTTTAGCAGGCCACATGCATTGTGCAAATGAAAATTTTATTTGTTGGAACCACAGTTTTAAACGAGTTTATCTACTATGAATCGGAAGTCATTTCATTATTCTGCGAAAATGTCGATCAAAGATCAATTCATTCTCGTAAAGGTATTTTACCGCTCTGAGACAGTTTTATGCAAATCAATAGTCTTGCTGCACGCATAGACTTCCTACACCAGACAGAATCGTTACAGCAGACTTGTACAATTAGAACCGTCTGCACTTCCTTAGGTAATAGGCATTCAACTTCTTATTTGCAAAAATGTACCGGTGATGCTTGAGAGCTTGCTGATTGCATTCTTGTGTGGCTGTTTTTTAGAATGATATAAAAAATGATAACCTCCAGTCGAACGGTATGCTGTAAAGTGTTACTGAAAAAAATACGATCAAAAGAACATTTATAGAATTGATAGGATGGAATGCATGGTTATGGTATGTGTATCACAACAGTGCTTTTCATACAAAAATATGTAATAAAAAACAGTCGTTGACGTAAAATGATGATGCTGCAGTTCAATTTCATTGCAAAAATAACACCGTGACAAAAATTGCACAATCATGGATTAGGGTATCGAAATTTTTTGTCGTTTTCGATTAGTTCAATTGAAAATCATTGTATCCGTTCCAATGCTTCCAATATCGAATTTCCACGAACGACCACCATTCCAACAGGTGCAGTGATCCCGTCTTCGATCTGTTCCATCATCCACAAATAGATTCATAAAAGGATCGAATCCTCGCAAAACACCCGCAACAGATCGTCCACTATGTAACTACAAATTCAATCTTTTATTTATAAACTTCTTTAATTCCCGCGGATGGGCTTCGCTCATGTTCATATTACGCGATACAAATCCCAGTTGTTGACGACTAGCCGTTTCCGGAGATATAAACAAGAAGTCGACGTTCGGGAAAACGAACCTTTTTGTCTTGGGAGGTCGCGCTCTTCAAGTGTCGGACGGGGTCTGGCGAGGCATTTTTTGTTGCTTTCAGTCTGCGTTTCAAAGGAACATTGCATTGGGTCACGGCGCGTATCAGAGCAGTGTCTGAGTTAGTTTGTGCTGTTCTACTTTGCGCGATTCATAACTGCTGCACGCCAGACTAAAATCAAACACTTTTCTTCAATTCTAAGAGTTCTGATATTTTATCCACAATTTTGCTAATTTTTTTTATTTTTCAAGGGAACACGGTTTTTTATCGTCAACGTGACGACTGTTTCCGATTCGACGCTACGCGAAACTCTGAGATTAATTGATACCGGTAGGTACGGTACGAAAAGCGCTTTGTCTTGGGCTTCGTGTCCATATATTCGAGCATCGCTCTCTTAGAATAGGATAGGATTTACATATTTATCCATGGGGAGAGGTGAGCCTATAAGACGGCTTATCCATATGGCGAACCACGGCCTCTCGTCCGGTTACCATTCCAAGTCGGATATGGAATTAGTTATATCCCTTTGTTTGTTTTCGGAAGCATGGACTTGGTGGTGGAGGAAGCCGTAACCGACCAGCGGTTACGTGAACCACCCAACGACGGCGAGGAGTCCAGCAATCCTCTCGCACATAACCATCCCTGCATGGGATTCGAACCTGCGAACCCACGCAGAGTAATTAGAGGTGCGGTGGCGAGCGTATTTCTAACGCTTAGCCCGTTGAGCCACATCGCCGAGCCCAGCGGAGCCCCCCTTCTTTGTTTCCAGATACATGGACTTGATGTTGGCCAGCGGTTACGTTAATTTCCCTGCAAACAAACAAAAACAATACAAACATTTCACCCCAAAGCAATTTCGCCTTTAAATATGATTATAAAGCCACAGTTCGAATCCCGTGCGGTATACGCTAATTATGTGCGATAAGATTGCTGGACTCCTCGCCGTATTAAGGAGTGCGTAGCTAACGTAACCGCTGGCCGAGTGCAGCTGAAATCCAGACATAGACTGAATAGGGGTCGCGCTACGCCATATGATCAAGTCCTTTCATCAAATTTTTTCCTACCGATATTAATATGAAATTTGTACCTAATTCAGTGATAACATTTATTGACACTAACAACCGGGTTTAATTACGGAAGCCATTTGTCTCATATATTGACTCACTGCACCTCTACGTGGCAAGCAATCGATTGGCGTTCTCATTTAGAGCGGTGTGTCGATGTTAGTGTTGTAGGGCTCTCCTCACATTGTCTCGAAATGCGGCGGTTTGTGGCAAAACTGTATTTGGAACGCGAAAAACTATAAAAATATAACAGATCATGGACCGGAGAAGGCGAACTGAAGCTGACTGGCTGACACTGGTATCAGAGGTGAACTAATTTCCAATCCTAGCCATCTGGACTGAAAAAATAAATAAAAGCCCAGTTACTAGGGATGCGACAAGATTCGGATTCGTAGCCAAATTTCTCATAGCCTAATTTGATACTCTGAATCGGCCCGAGCCTTTAATGATTTTACCCGAGTCCAGGACATCATACGTCACGCGATAGTCAATCGCAAACTGATGGCACATTATATGGAAAATTCAATTTTTTCGTTCTGATTTGCCACGAGAGTGTTCTCTCTTTTATCTAACGCTTACGATGAAATAAAACAGTGCGTCAAAAGTGCATTTCACAACGACGTAAGGCGTTTAATAAATATTTCGATCATCTACTAATCGACCATCACTTGTAGTCAGCGGGTACCCACATTTAGAAATAAGACAATAAAAATTGTGACAATTAATTTTAGAGAGAAGTTCAACTCGCGTATGTCAGTGGCATTATATTCGTTCATATGCACAAATACAAGCTCGCATATAGCGACGATCAAATGCATAAAATTATTTCCAATCGAATTATTCGAATATATATTTTGAACAGATTGTAAAATATTGTCAAAACTCTTTTCGAAATTTATCAGAAGACTGGAAACTCGTTAAGATCACGGCGTTTTTTATTTCATAGTTTTGTCATAATCGCTGATTATTTTTTGTCACCGCAATCATTTCGGCGGCAGACAATCCAGTTAATGCTGGTAAACTATATTAAAGCACTTTTTTATTTACGAGGAAATATTGATTCTCACGCAACGGCGGACATCATAGTTTGTTTTTTATATTCCGGACAGAATTGTGAGTTCACATCGGCGAAGATGAAGAGCTATCAAGGAGTGAATTCACAACACAAATTAATTTTACAACACAAATATTATTTTGACCACATAGAAATGCCATTATTGCTGATTTATCCAAGTATTTAGTATCAGTGTTTTAGCCGAAGCTGAGTTACATGAATACTGAACACTGCACAATACTTACACATGTAACTCAACTTTGGGTTAAAACACTGATACTAAATACTTGGATAAATCGGCAATAATGGCATTTCTATGTGGTCAAAATACTAATTTTCTCTAAAATCTCGAGAAATTCCCATAGATTACATTATTTGTCTTACTTATCTTATTACTTATTTGTTTCGACGTTTCTAAATTAAAAAAAGCAATGTTGACAGGCTTTATGCAAAATTAGATATTGAAAAGATATGATAGGCGCAGAAAGAAAACAAAAAAAAATAACACAGGATTTCTCACATTTATCGTTTTTGTCTGTTAGTGAGAGCCGATGGTAAATTCTTACTTTTAATTCATCTTAAATTAATGTTAATAAATTTTATTTTGCTTCTCAATGCGCCGTGATTTGTATTATTAAAAGTGATTGCGTCGGAAAAAGAGAGTTCTTAAATTAGCTTCTCTCCCATAATGAAGTTTGAATTCGTTTTTTATCTGTTTCGTGGAGATAAAGGTAAATACGCCTCACCGATTTGTAATCAACAATTACGCATTCTTATTTATCATTATCAGCGCCAACTAAAAAAGAAGAATGTCCCAAAAGCAATAGTGTTTATGTGCAACGTTTTTAATTACCGATACTTGTCTTATCTTACAAAATGTTTAATTTACAGCCAATATACACAAACAACATCATCACTTTATATCGGAGCTATGTAAAAGTATTGAACTCGGATACGAGTCCAGCGCAAACACTCTGATTCGACCGAGCCGAACCTTTTTGGATTCGTCGCATCTCTACCATTTACTGTTCCCGGTCTCGTGTAGTTTTGTACCTGAAGTACTTCTAGTGGCGGTAGCATAAGGATTTTCACACTTGTCAATCCTGCCCCCACCTGGCTATGCCATTCAAAAATGACGTTGTTCATTGTTCATCTTCTAATGACAGTAATGCTTCATAGGGTGTCACAGATAAATACTCAATTTAGGGTCACCTTTACATAACTCTGGTATAGTTAATTCATATAGGTTGAATTACTGATTAACTTTTTCATATCTTAATTGTTGGCAACTGAACAGAAGGCTTACCCTTCTCTGGTATAAATATAAAAATCCTTACCAATCACTCATTTTTTTATGGTAAATAAAGACCATTTTATTAATCATATATTTTTAGCTTCAAGCTTTGAAAAGGAAACTGACAAGCAAGAGTGAAGCTTTGTTAATTCTTTCTAAAGATCTTGAATCGACACAGAAGGAACGAGATCAGTTCAAATTGATGGCAGAGAAATTGAGAGTTAGATGTCAGGTATGATGTGATGTTAATTAAAAGGCCGATTCAGTGGCGAGGAAGGAGGGGGGGGTTGCAGTTTTCAGGAGGTGGTGATAATCATCGAACATGTTCTTTTTTTTGTTTTTGTTTCAGAAGCTATACCAGTGGCCTTTTATACATCAATCAGTGTTTTCTAATGTTTATTTATGAACTACAGAGTTCTTTATAGCATTGGCTCCCAACGGAAGGCCCGTGCCCATCCTTCTCCCTACGGAGGCTACGTAGTAGTCGGACGGGAGAGGCAAAATGACTTTACCTTCACTTTACTCCCTATTATTACAAGTTTTCTTGCCTGATAAGGTTATTTCACAGGGTGTTTTTATAGTGTTCAACAGGTACTCCTGGAGTATGCGCACCAAGATGTCGCATAACCTGACCCCTAACCTGCTACACAACCCAAGTTCAGGTTGTGCGTCATCTTGGTGTGCATACTTCAGGAGGTCTGTTGAACATGTATTATTTGAACACATGAGGAGCCTCCTTTACGAGTCATAAAAGATTGAAAACCACTGCTCTATAGTACAGATGGGATTTTAATAATTATCCTGGGGGAGAGGAAAGACCCAATCATATGGCGAACCACGGCCTCTCATTCGATTACCATATAATGTCGGGTACGGGATTACCGTATTTATTCGCAAATACGCCGAGTTTAAAACTCAAAAAAAAAGTTGCCCAACTAAGGGACCGTCTTATTCTCGCATAACTCAGATAGCACCAAAAAATCTCACAGAATAATACTCCAGCATTAATTCTTAACAATAAAACTGTAATTTCAATCATTTTGAACAACCATTTATTAACTGAAAGGTTGAAATAACATATTAATATGGTGTGATAAATACTGTGCTGTACGTCCATGGGTTAGGCAACAGCTGTGTTTTTCGTTTTTTTTCTGAATCAGCAAAACGGAAGGGTCATAAATCAATCACTTTATTTTGTGGTAGCCGTTTTCTTTCTGAAGTGCCGTTATCGGGCAGGGAGTGCTTCATTGCACCGGCCACGTTTTTGTTTTTAGGATTAAGACAAATAACAGCTGGTATACAAAGTCAATTAAATAATCGGCGAATCGCGATATTTGAATATTAAATTTGAATTGAACATCATTGACTGTAATAGATGCGTGCACCGTGTTACGATTTGTGGAAACGGCTTATATGCGAATTTTTATAAATTCACTATTTTGAAGCTATTATTAGGGAGTCGGCTTATCCGCGTGATAGGCGTATAGTCGAGAAAATACGGTATGGACTTCCGAATGGTATGGACTTCCGAATCCTCTCGTGCATGAACATCCTTCTTAGGATTCGAACCTGCGAATCATCGTAGGGTAATTAGAGGTATGATGGCGAGCGTAATACTAACGCTTAGTAAAATACTCCACACCGCGAAACAAGCCGCCATATCAGTAGCTGGCAATAGATAGAAAACTAATGGCGAGCGGTAAAAAGATGGCAATACACTATTTTGTATATAATCCCCAAATATTGACTTCAAAATTTCTAGTCCTTGATCTGTAATTATTAACTTTTGCTCCAGGCATATAAAAGACAATTCTCAGATTATCCATTGACACGAGACCAAGCGTCTTTGATTCAAATGCTTCGAGACACAAAGAATCAGAAAGTTGCTCAACAGAAACAATGCGAGGTTTTACAGCTGAAATTGAACGAAGCTCTGGGAGATGTGAAGGTAGAGTGATGTTTATTTTTAACCAATGTACTCTGACTGGGACCAGTTGCAGGTTGAAATGTCGGATTCAAATTTTAGTTTCACCTCACCTGGGCTGTAATAAATTGTATGGGACAGCATTTCTCAAACTGTGTTCCTCCACGAGCTTATCCGAAATATTCTGCGAAATAGGGATCGAAATTGAACCGCCATTGCGGTCTCGATGCGACTCTTAATGGTAAATTTGTTTCCCAACTGGCGACAAAGAGGTGGGTAGGCTTTGCTATTTAAATATGCCACGTGCCAGCGTTCAAAGCAGTATCATATTGTTAACTGTCGGCCTAATTTTCTAATTATCAAGTTTACAGCAAACTTAGAATTTGAATAAGTCAACATAGAAGGTTTAAGCCAGGGGTTGGCAAATTATTTAATGCTAGCCGGATTCAGTCCACCGAAGTTTTCATGTTGTGCTTGCTGAAATATGACAATAGTTTTTATGGATATAAATTTTTGTCGATGAAACTAACATCATAATGACCCCAATTGTTACATTGTGCTGATTGTTATTATATGAAATTCAGCCTAGCTGTTGTAAATAATCTATTTTTATTCATGTTGGGTTTTGTGCCTCCCACCCAGTAACCAGGTCTATTATCTGTAACTGTCCAACCTTGGTCTAAGCCTTTGGCCCAGGGGCGGGCAAGGTTTTTGCACCGTGGGCCAAATAACTCTGCCAACTCGACTGGCCATGTAAGTGTGACGTATAAAGTTATATTTTATGAACAATCTTTACAGTGTTCAAAGTAAATTCAATCGCAATCTCAACAAATTTCATGAGCTATTTTTAGCTGAAACATCAAAATTTGGTTTTAGTTTGGTCCTGGCAGCATTGGCCGGGCCAAATAAGAGTTCCCAACAGGCCGGATTTGTCCCGCCGGCCGTAGTTCGCCCACCTCTGCTTTAGCCACTAGGTCACAATAATATGAGTAGATATCAATCATTTGTCTTTTTCTCATTTAGTTGCTACGGGAACGCTTCGCACGACAACGAATTGGAGATGAAGGCATTGGACCGCGTCATTTCCCCGCTCATGAAAGAGAGGAATTGGTTGTGCAACTGGAATCGGAAAAACAACAGGTGGTTTATTTGATAGACCTGTAGATAGTGGTCGTTAAATATGCTAATATGAGGGTTGGGGAACCTGGGGCCATTTAGCTGTGACATTATGGTGGGGCCCAAAATTTAAAATACCTATATAATAACTAACAGCTGGGGTTACATGGGACTAACCATCTTTCCTTGCTCTATATGCCTTTTCGCAGGTGGGTTCGTATGCGTATAACGCAACGATGCTGTGGCAAAGTGTAAATCTTCGAGTCCTGCCTACGTGAAACTGCATTTGGGCAGAAATTTCATGATAGTGGCCACACTTGAAAAACCTTGATGGGTGTGGGTATGGGGAAAAATATAGCGCAGGAGCCCATGTGATTTCGAACCAGCTCTTCAGCCCTGACTGAAAAAATCTAATACAACAAATTCCTGTGTAAGCAGTGAATTAATGGTCAACTGTGTTGGCATAGATATCAAGGTTGCCAGGAATTTCCATATACGTGGTTTGAAATTTCTAATTGCCAGGTTGAACCGTAATAATTGGGGGTCTGTGAGTCTCGTGCAAAAACATTTATCCCAACTGAAATTTTAACCTTTAGATAGGAATATTTGTAAGATAGCTTTGGAAAGTCACACAATTGTGTAAGGACCGGCTTCATTTGACCCTGTCAGCCATTTTGAAATATGTCTGAATCCAATTAAAATTGAGTTGCTTTGTTGGATTTAAATGCGGATTAAAGATCTGAATGAAGCATTTAGAGTACGATTACATCCTAATGGATGTGTGGGAAACTTGTTCATATTCCTCATTTCCATTTCTTCAGCAACCACAAATAGTAGCATACTTCCTAATTACATATCTTAAATTCTTCATTTTTTACTTTACTAACCATTGCAAAATAAGTTCCAACTTTGTTAATCAATAGCAAAGCTGGCGTTCCCTTTGCATAGATGGAGACTTCACTCGCTATCCTAACTGGCCTTTACTTTGGCTTTTTGGGACGTTGTGAAGTGACACCAACTTCTGATTTAAGTTAATGAAGTGCATGAATGTTTAGAGGGTTTCCAGTTAGAGTTTGATTTTTCCTTGGAAGGACTTGTTTTTAAAAAAGGTTTCTCGAGTCAAGAAACTGACCTAAACCCCCGAATGCTGTTGTTTTCTTTTGTTAATAATTTAACTTATGCTATCAACTGGATTTTTGTGGGACTAACTACTTACCCTTTTCCTATGCTTTAGCGATTTCGTATGTGTATATTCCAAGATTGCTGTAGTGATAGTAAAAATGACTATTCTGAGTTATTTAAAGGATTTTCTCAAAACAACTAACATAAATGTTTTTCTGGACACCCCAGAAGTATGTGTACCAATATATGGAGGTAACTCATTTTGTTCGCCTGCTTTACATCAAGTTGTGTGAAGGGGCTGAAACTTATGGCCAGGGGTTATATTCACTTGGCTAACTCGTAATAGAACTAAAATAAGAAAAATCGGAATTAAAGTATGGCCTTGTTCCATAATCCCTTTTTTACTGGTGGTGTCGTATGTATATATAACAAGAATGTTGTAGCAAGAGTAAAGAAAGCTATCCTAAGTGATTGAAGAGTCCGGCTTCACACTGACACAGATATTTATGTTTAGTATGCACTGCTATGCAGCAACACTCTTGAATCACCTAGAACCGCTTGTCAGTTACGGCTTTCTTCGCTATTAAGTCCATGCATCTTAAACAAACAACTGTTTGAATTTGAATAATTCAATAACTTTTCCTATTATCTAGGCTGAACAATACCGACAAGAACTGAACATTGCAAACGACCAAGTTACTGAATTATCCTCTGAAAGGGATGAATTTAGGCTGAAAGCTGAAAGACTGAACAATGAATTGAATTTCATGCTCAATGGAGATAAGAAAAGGATTATTGACATTGATGCCTTATGCATGGAAAACAAGTGAGTAAATTGGCCCATTTATATATGAATCGTATTCTGGTCTTTCCCTCCCAAGCAAAGCCCTGTAGCCGCTGATGTCTAACGAAGTCACGGTTATTTGGGAACCAGAATCTTTCTCTCCTAAAAACAGTAAAGTTCCTCCCTGGCTGTCTTATAAAGAAGCTACTGTTTTCCGAGAGAACTCAGTGATTTCACACTAACACTCTAAAGAAGACTTGGTACGAGTAGATACAGATATATCATGAGCGTTGCCAGGGACTTGAGGGCCAGACCCCCTCCCCCCGGAGAATTGTATCACACTTAGCAATCTTTTGTAGCTTGAAAGGCTAATTAGACTCTCAGGATTTTCGGAAACCCTTATTCACGACTGGACCCGCTCGGTGTTGCGGTCTAATTTGGCAATTACAAATTTCCAAAACTCCCCTTCCTGGATACGCCCTTGATATACAGGATGTTAAAGAAGTAACGCAAAATTAAGAATAAAATTTTGTCATGGCAACGTTAAAAAAGTAACTGTTAAAAAGCATCAGTCCTTGAATGTTTAAAGCGCATTTCACACTAATATAATACTGTTATATACTGTTATTGTAATTTTTTAAACCTTGAGTGAGATTGTGATTCTTTCCAAAATAATAGTTGTGGAAATGTCTTTTTTCATAAATAGCAATTTCTTAGATCTTATGCCTGTACGGAACCTTGTTAGTATTGCTTTTCGATTTCAGGTATCTTCAAGAAAGAGTGAAGCAATGTCAGGAAGAGAAGAATTCTTTGCATTCGCAAATGGGAAAACTAAAAGTAAGTTTAACTATTTCAATGGGTATTTGAATGTTTTTTTGTCATTCTGAACACAAGTTTTTTGATGATTTATCAAGCAGTATTGCACGAAACTATTGTTCTAAACCTGTCCTGGTGGTCAGAGCGTCAGACTCAAAAATGTTGGCGATTTAGGTCATGGGTGTGATAAATCGACTGGCCAATGACGAAACTGAAAAAAGGATAGGATTTACATAGGATTTACATATTTATCCCAGGGGAGAGGAAAGTCGATAGGATGGCTTATACGGCTTATCCATATGGCGAACCACGGCCTCTCGTCCGGTTACCATTCCATGTCGGGTATGGGATTAGTTATATTGTTTGTTTTCGGAAGCATGGACTTGATGGCGGAGGAAGCCGTAACCGACCAGCGGTTACGTGAACCACCCTAAGGCGGCGTGGAGTCCAGCAATCCTCTTGCACATAACTATCCTGCATGGGATTCAAACCTGCGAACCCATGCAGAGTAGTTAGAGGTGCGGTGGCGAGCGTCTGGAAACTAGAGTTGTATAATGTTTTATTGAATTTTGCTCATTGCGGGATATTCTGACACCATTATGAGGTTAATTGATACAGGAACCATATTAAAATTGTTGTCAAGCGTTGTGTTGCACAGCGAATAACCACTAATATGCTCGTTTCATATCAAATAGAGTCACAAAAAATTTGCTATCCTAAACCAATCTAATGCCATATGAGGTTCAGGAAACGCATTACAACGTCTGTGTTTTGTAATCACATTATTTCCTGAATGCATTTCATGACTCATTCACATTCATGAAAAAGCCTGAATATAGTCATCAGATATATCTGCAATTTAAAACGTGCCTCTAAAGAATGAAGTTTCTCTGACCCTTGACCCCTGAAAGATTCTTCCTGGTTCAAACTGGCTCACATGTTCAAAACCACCATTTTTATACCAAACAAGAAACCATACTGATAGGTAATATTTCAGGCTAGTCTATTGCATCGTTTGCGCTATCAATTTTTGTTCATTGTAACTAAACTAAAGGTCCTTGGAAGACACGATAACATTATAACTATTTTTTAAAAACACAACTGAAAAATAACACCCAAAACTACCGAAACGAGGCAATGTTTACAACCACGTTTGGACATCTGTCTGAGCGAAAGAAGTGTCTGAGTGCCGGCATGAATTCCAATTGTTACGTAATTGCCTACTTATTGTTGCTTTGTAATTGCCACAAAATTAAACAAGAAAAACAATGATTGGGGAAAGATCCATTGAAGATCAACATCATTTGCCTTGATCAGCAATTCGTTCACAACTGCGTTCCTATATATTTATTTCGGGAACACACTAGTGTGATCCAATATCTCTATTTTGATCCCATTAATTCTTGGCATATACAGTCCAGACCCTGCCACCCTAGATGCACGCGATATCTCACGAAGGCGTGGTTGAATCTGCTCCAAATTTTACATGTGTATTCATCATATCTCGGACCAGTAGCCTAATGATTTTGGATGAATTATGTCGTATAATTAGCGTGTTATTAATTAATTAGTGATGGGACACGCGGTGTCACTATAGAGTCATGAATCGAAACCACAGTTTCGATCTAAGTCTTCGGTCTTCGACCAATATTCTCGTTTTGTTTTTATTGATTATTTTATCATCTATTATGCTGATTATGGAGTCGATAAAAATTTATATTCCTCACACCCACTTTTATTTTCAGGCCGTGCTGAACGCAAGAAAAGCGACCAACACTGACATACAGCCAGGAAAGATCAGAAACTCAGGTCTTGTCATTTCTCCGAAGCAAGTTAAAGAGATATTGATGAATAGGGCTGGTAAGTAGCAATCAGTAACCTGTGACTCTTAGTTTTTAGGAGATCTGGCTCTCGTGAAATAAATTGGCTACAGCAGTTTTTGTTAGAAACAGTCATGGGCATAAAGTCAATTACTGCCCACTAATTACACATCAAAGCAGGTATAAGTCGAGAGCGGTAAAAATTAAATTTTATTTTTCAAGTTCTTTTTATTTTTTCGTTAACTGAATTATTGCATCACACATAATTTGTTTGGCTTCATCTTGGTAAAAACTAGATTATCACATCCGGTGGTACACATGGTTTTCTAGTAGTTTCATTAACCACTGATATTAGAGTAGATGTGGCGGCTCCGAGTAGGTTCGAGTTTGATAGAAAGGATGCCAAAATGGCTTTTTCAATGCTAAAGACTGTCGACTCGTGGTGTATGGAATTTTACTCAGAAAAGACTTCGAAAAAACAGGAATTATTTGAATTCAAATTTCCTTCTTCTCCTCAAACCAAGGTCTTCCTACGTCAGCAGAAAATGTTTCAGATCTTCAATCCATCGCTGCAGCGCTACTGGAAACAATAAACGACAAGAATTTAGCTCTGCACCATCTCAGGAATACTAACAAGTGAGTGGGTTATCTGTGTGAAATATTATCGTCAAACATATAAACTCGGCGGTGTGGTGCATCTTGCTAAGTGTAAAGTTGACAATACAACTCAGTTCAAAGTCAATACATCGATTAATACAGATTAACAAAACCACAAACTAGTCGATTGTACCATTTGAGTGATGCATCACTTAACCCATAAACACATTTGTTTAGTTTCCATAGCTTGGTAGTTCCAGCCTCTTTGGGAGGCTTTAAAAATATTTCTCTATCCACACAATTTCCCTGTAAGAAAGCTGTTTTAATGTCAATCGTATGAAGCTTCCATTTCTTTTGTGCGACAATGGCAATAGGAACCCTGAGTGAATCTTTTGAACAGGTGGGCGATTATTTAGCAATATCGTCAGTTTGTTCTTCAAAGCCTCTTGCGACAAGTCTGGCTTTGGGAATGATTCCATCTTCAGTATCTTTCATTGAACACACCCATCGTACGGAAATTGTTGGTTGACCAACATTTTCGACTTCATTGTAGACCTTATTTTGTCTCCAGCTTTTCAACTCTGACTTCTTTGCTTCTAGAAAGTCAACATTTTCCAAGACCAACACATCTTCACGAGTGTTTTCATCCATTTCCTTCTCGTTCAGATTTTCCACTTTATCAAAATCTACGTACCCAGATTTTCTTCTAAAACTTTCTGGATTACAATATTCAACATTGTAGCTTTTCCCATATTTCCCGGTTGATTTACCTGCACGACTAAGGATTTTGGCTTCATAGTCTTCACCAGCTAATGTAAAAGAGACAATTTTGCCTTTAGTCAAGTTGAGATTACGTCTGCCACCAGTTGCTGCTTGAACTGGATTGCCAATTGCACTTTGGTCATTATCCATATTTTCAGAATCATTGCTTTCATTTGAAATTTCTGGAACAGACTGTTCCTCATCTTCTATATGATCCTTACCATTAGACGAAGCGTCAATTCCATCATTAGAATCTGTTGAAATGCAAACCTCCTTTGTCCGAGGAAAATCCTGAAGATAACGGTTGGCATGCTGGACTCTGCATGAATGTGCTCTGATTAGCTGTCCGCCATGTCGTATAAAAATAACCGGTCCATCTTGCCCAATTACTTTTGCAGGGCCCTTCCAACGTTTTTGATCCTCTCTCTTATAATAAACCTCTTCTCCCGTGAAGAATTCATCCCGAGTCTGTCGGGTTTGTGTTCGTAATGCTCTTCTTATTTTTTCGGAAGATTCTGATTCAATAACTGCTTTCCTGGCAGCTTGCATTGCAAATATATTATTGGCTACAGTGAGACTTATAGATTCACCTTCCAAGGCATGTGGGTCATCATGAGTAACTGATAGCAAAGTGGGATTCCTTCCAAACACGAGCTGGTTAGGGCTGAAGCCACTGTTATTCACAAGTGAGTTTTTTGCGCTAACAGCCCAAGCAAGTGCAGTTTCCATATCACATTTCTCAGCTGCCTTAACCTTCATCAATGTTTCTGTCAATGTCCTATTGTGTCGCTCGCAGAGTCCATTAGACCACGGTGAGTATGCAGCTGTCGTCGTGAATGTTATATTAAAATTTCCACACATATCTTTGAACACTTCAGAATCAAATTCTCCGCCGTTGTCACTCAGAATACGAGCCGGACTTCCAAAAATGCTGATCCAATTTTGCATGAATTTCTTTACAATTGTTGATGAAAGTTTATTTCTCACAATGGCAGCTCTACTGTATCGAGTGAAGTGATCAATCATATGCAAATACCACATATCAGAACCTAGCTGATGTAGATCGACCGCCACTGTTTGATTAAAATCATTTGCCCATGAAAGTCCTACAACTGGACGTGGCGAAGGTTTTTTGTAAACTTCAATCAGGCTCGAAAGATCTGCATTCCATTTTCCTGCATTCTGAATGAGCTTCTTTAATTTGTCTTGTGACGCATGGCCGAACTGTTTATGCAATTTTGTAATTTCAGCTTTCCCAAATTCTTTATGCCCAGTGCTTTCTGATGCAAGGATTCCATTACGACAACCAACTTCTGCCTTCATTTTAGGCAGTATATCTACCGCATAATGTCCATTGGTAGATAAATGCAACTTAAGATCTTGCTTGAGCATTACCGCACGATCGTTCTGCATGTCAAGTACAGTGCCTGCACGCTTTAGTGTGCTTTTGCTGAGTAACAATGGCAAGTTTTCTTCATTCACAATTTCAACCTCCATTCTCAGCAACGTTCGGCCAATTTGTACAGGAATTATAGCTTTTTCTCAGCTTGAATTTCTTTCCCATCTCCAAATTTAAATCTCTTCATTGAGGGAAAAATCTCAACTCTGCTCGACAAGTTTTCGTTTAAGAGCCCAAGATAATTCCTGAACCATTTTTTACCAGCTACTGTCTTCGTGCAAGCAGTATCTACTATGCAGCCTTGGCAGCTTCAACTTCAAAAATATTTGAAGAATTTTCATCTGTTATCAAAACCATTTGTATTTGTTCGCAAACACCATCTTGCGCATCGGAACAATAAACTTGATTCTTCTTATGTGGACATTGTTTGGCCCAGTGCATTTTTGATTCACAAATTGCACATCTAGATATATTTCCGTATTTGTCCCGTGGATTCAGTTGAGCTTTTACTGTCGATTCATGATGCTTGTATTGCTGCTTTGCTCCTCCGCCACTACCGGTGGCGTATCTCGATCTCTCTTTGAAAAATTCTTTCTTAAATTTTGGCCTACCAGTACCGGTATCACGAGTCACAAATGCATTTTCCTTTTTAATATTCGATGCAACATCATCTTCATCAAAATCATAATTCTTTTCATCGCCATCTTGCTTTGAAAGAATCCTTTTTAAGGCTGATTTCATAGATTCGAACTTCAAGTCGCTTCCAACAGTAAGAACCATTTGGCGCTGTTGATCAGTTAGGCCTGCAGCATCTAATATCTTAAAAGCCAGAATGGTATCTGGTAGCTTCATGTCCTATTTTACAAGTCTAGCATACCGGTGTTCAAACTCCAGGATAAAATCCACCATTGAAATATCAGAACTTTTCCATTCTGCATAGCTAGTACCGCCTCCAAACCTTGGTGGTGGTATTTGTTTGGAAGTCATTTTCCTCTGCTACCATGTAAAGTTGACAATACAACTCAGTTCAAAGTCAATACATCGATTAATACAGATTAACAAAACCACAAACTAATAATGAGCACGCTGCCCAAACAGTAAAAACAGAAGACCAAACACAATAGAAAATTATTCACGCCTGAGTGAACATAATAAATGGAGCAAAACGAAAGTGAAAGAATGCAGTGCTTGAAATGAATAAAGCAGAATAGTAACACTAAGCGTTAGGAAAATGCTCGCCATGCATCTCTGATTACCCTGCACTGGTTCGCAGGTTCGAATCCCATGCGGGGATGGTTATGTGCGAGAGGATTGCTGGAGACCTCGCCGCCGCAGGATGGTTTACGTAATCGCTGGTCGATTACTTCATCCACCATCTGGTCCATGCTTCCGTAAACAAATAACTGGCTAATCCCACATCCGACATGGAATGGTAACCGGACGAGAGGCTTGGTTTGTCATATGATTAAGCTGTCTAATCGGTTTTCCTCTCTCCCAGGATATGTAAATCCTCTCCTATATGCGCACATCATAAACTATATACAGAGTGACCATAAAGTCTCTTTACATTTTCAATTTTATTATGAGGTCAGTTCTCAACCAGGTTTGTTGATCTTTAAATCAGTAATTGTTCAAGTATTTTTACTTCATTTAATACATGATTAACAATATATGGCATCTTTACAATTTTATAAAATTTAAGCTTCTATGGACACCTATAGATTTAGTTATATAACAATAATATTTAGTATTATTTCAACTCAAATTTTGTATCAGTATTTTGATGTTGTACTATCTCAGGAGTATGAAAGACTCATCTTTGAGTAAAGTTACGAGCGACCAGTGAAACCCAAGAGATTATGAATCAATATGAATGTTTGTGAATACAGAATTTTTTTTTTAATAATAATTTCCTTGTTTTCAAAAAAAATTTTAAAAATTTATTTAGAATTCTCGGGAACAGAGTAGCTGAATTAGAACGAAAACTACGAACATTGGAAGTTGTCGGACTTTGGAGCACGAATGGTAAGTCAAAGGTTTCTTAATCTATCGATAGCAGGATAGGAAAGTCAGGGGAAAAGCAGTTTGTGTATCAAAGCTAACAAGTTATTGCTCTCCAATACCTGGGCACTTGTCCAGCTTCCATAATTCATGTTTTCCACGTATTCTAAACTAGGTATAAGCTGCCATTGTTTTGGGAAGACCAGAATATTTTTGGTTTTGCGTTGCCTTCACAATTTCTCCTAACCTGGGTGAAATGTTGGATATGCTATCTAAACTGCTATGCCAAATTAGTTACGGTTTATTTTTGTTTTTATCAGGTCAAACGCCTTCACTTTCATCCACACCAAAGATAAAGACAGAAGACGAATCATCCAACCTCACTCCCACGTCAGCAAACAATCCAGAGGATGAATTTCTATCCAGTTTGGGATCAAGGTTGAGTAAACTTACTGATGTCTGTGCAAGAAGTTTCGAGGAATACAAACTTGTGTCACTGACACCTGAAAGTTCTGGCAGTGTAAGTGATGCCGCAAAAAGTGGTGATGCCACACCATTACATAACGGTGCCACAGAATTGAGTGAAGAAGGTACTCATATCAATGTGGAAAAAAATTTCACACATTTGGAGGATGGTGCCACAAATGTGGGTACTGATGCCACATGTGCGGTTCATAGTGACACCGAATTTGATAATGATGCCTTGACCAGTGGTGATACTGAACAAATTGACAATGCTACTTTTTGGACCAGCTGTGCCTCAGAACTCAATGATGACGCCACAAACTTGAGTACTGATTCCTCAAAAAATATTAATCACGAATCAAACTCCTTAACTGGAGTGCAATTGAACAGTGATGGCGATACCTCACTTTTACATAACGGCGCCACTGAATCTGATCACGATGCCATGGGTATAGATACCAGTGCCACAAACACTGTACCCTTAAAAGTTACTTCCACAAGTGGCATATCGGAAGTGTCAGCGGACAACCTTCATTCAGATGCCACAGAAGTCAAAGAAGATGCCACACATGATAAAGGGCATCAAACTCTTCCATCCTCATTAGATTTTGATAGCCCTGATAATGGTAATAACCTTAGCGGCAGTGCCACTGTTGATGACACTGCTGCCTGTGATGAAAATGCTGCCACAAAACTTACCAAAAATATTGATGGTAGCACAGATGACATAGTTCCTGAATCCACTGCCACTGATACAGTTAGTGATGCCACAAATGCTTCCACTGCCACCTCACTAGATGTCCCTCGTGATTAGGTTCTACACAATAACATATTTTGGGCGTGGCACTGTAATTGGGTCCTTTTTATTGTGACTAGGGGCCCTTACTATTCTAAGGCACAATAACACACAATTCTGACATGTTGCCATACCAAATCATTTTAAAAATAAATTGTTGGTCATTGTATCCTGACAGTGTGGTATTCTAGATTCCTATCTGGCAATTAATAGGATTTTGAATATTATAAATTGATCAACTTGGCAGTAAATTTATAATATGTATACTTTAATGTCAATATCTGAATTCTATAAGAAGCATTTTAACTGGTAAGAAGTAGCAATTGGCGAATTACACTAGTTTGAACCTGTTTCAACTGGAAAGAAGTAAATGAGTCGTAGCAGTCGTACAAGCGAATACTCTGTGCTTGAGATCATTTCCAATTATCTCATTCTTACAATTGATAAGAAGCTGATTATTTAAATGTCGATTATATATCATAAAATGGCACTATTTTGTTGTGTCTGAATATCCATTGTAATTTCTTATCAACATTTCCAAAAATATCAGCCAGTTTGAACCAGTTTCAGCTGGTATGAGGCGAACTATGTGAATCCATTCATACAGGGAAATATTTTTTGAGTCTGAGAAGCAATTTTTCCGCTTAAAATTTTGTAAAGGATGCCAGTGTGAACCGGTTACAATTGATAATTAGCAAACGATAAACTGTTCCGATCACACAACAACCATCACTTCATTGTGTCTGAGATCCAATTCTTGTTTTTAATGCTTAATATTTTGCAAAATAATACCAGTTTGAACCAGTTACAACTGGTTATTTGAAAAGCAAGCAATATAAGTTTGAACCATCAAGAAGAAAACTATTCGAATTGAAATAAATAGAATTCAATAATATTATTTCAGAATGTAAACGATATCGCAGATTACTTAGTTTTGGTATCTCTGGCATATTGTGCAACCATGTGTGACTTGGCAGAATTAGTTGGTTGAAATTAAATTGATGTTATTCTAACTGGTCGTGTTAGATTGATTTTGGGGGTGAATGAATCTTCAAAGTATATTTTATATTTGCACTGTTTTATTTTTTTTTAGTTTTTAGCAATTTAAAGGGTTTTATGTTGTGCAATGATAGTTTGTCATGTCATAATTGTAGTTGGTGATGCAATAATAAATTTGAAGCAATTTTGTAGTTATCTATGGTGATATCATAATTTTTATCCAATGTTTTTAATTGTTACTTGTAATGTTATCTTGTTTTCTCACACATATTATTATATATAGTTCACAGAAACTCATATTATAGCCTTTTTGCTTCATAATTTCTTTTTTTTTTTGGCCAAAATTTGGAGTTTGCGAGGTTATAGGGTTATGGCTCGGCGTTTGGTGGCACCTCATGTCAAGCGTTAGGGATATTCTTGCCGCAACATATTTACGACCACTTGTTGTAATCACTAATTACCCTGTGCAGATATGCAGGTTGCTGGACTTCTCGTCACCGTAAGGTGGTTTTAGGGTAGGCGTAATTTATTTTCGATTTTCCTTATTTTAGTTCTACAAGTTCAGGGACTGTCTGTGTTAGCCAAGTGAATATACGTTGAAAATTAGTTACCTCCATATTGGTACACATACTTCTTGAGCGCTGGTTCCGCCACTATCAAGTCCATGCTTCCGAAAATAATAAAAATTAGCTAACTAATTCCATCCCGACATAACGCTCACCTAAAATCATTTAATTATTTTCGAAACGCATCGGCGATGACACAAAAATAATAACTCGGTTAGAGGACTTGGAAACAAATGGTAAAAGTCAGGAACAGTTTATATTTGGAACGATTGGAAACGAAAGAATTTTGTTGACAGAAATTTGAATAATTCGACATGGTACCGGCAATAATATTGAGGAAACATGGTATTTGAACTGGTAGACACAGGCCTGATTCAATGTATTTCACGGAAAAAGCATGCATACTTAGGACTTTGGGTCGGTAACTGGTGTCAGATCTATTTGTCTATATTAATTTAATGACTGACCAATGATCACCATTCGCCAGTGCTCATGATTTCAAATTTTGGAGTAAAAACTTTCTAAATCCCAACCACAAGAAGCAACGGCCGAAACGCGTTTTCGAGTTTTTATGTTTGTTGTTTACTTTTTGTTTGTTTACGAAGTAAAACAGAAGCTAATCACCTAATTGCTATATTGTAATTTCTAATTTGCATTTCGGCACAAGCACCGTCATATGACTTCAAATTGTTTCCACCAATGTCGCTCATCAAAATTTATTCATAATTCTACAAGTAAGCTTTGCCTGTGAATTTTACTTTCTCGTGTTAATGTTGGTACATGCTGTTCATTAATTTTTCCAGTATAATTGCCGTGATGTGTTTTCCATTTGTGTGAGTGTGGCTAAAAGGGCACAAACGCTTGCAGCGTTAGCTATAAGCCTATAAACCTTTCTCTAGGTTTTGCTCATTTTTTCGATCTTTTCGTCGCCCTTGTCTGTGTTTTTATTTTGTGTTCAGTGTTGTCAGGTTGTGGACTTGTGGACAGATCAAAATAAAATTGTATTCTATAGGGCCGCGGTCGGCAACCACCGGGCCGCGGCCCATCGCCGGTCCGCGGAAAGATTACTGCAGGTCTGCAGAGAGGTGACACAAAAACGGTCAAGGCCGTAATAAAACCCCTACAATATAACCACTAACCTAACGACTAAAAACAGCACCCAACAGCAAACCAAAACTAGACGGACACAACAGTTCTGAGCAGCATGTCTGACTTTACAAACAATTGTCATGTCATGCTGGGTCAATTGTTTCCCCAACGCCCGCATAAAAATGTCTCTCATCAATCCGAATCTCATCTCCAACAAAATGATTTTCGCTGAGAACGTGACTAGAGATGCACCAATACCATTTTTGTCACTGATACCGATCCGATATTAGCTCGAAACGGCGATGCCGATATTGCCGGATGATTCTCGCTGAGAACGTGACTAGAGTTGTACCAATACCACTTTTGTCACTGATACCCATCCGATATTAGCTCAAAACGGTGATGCCGATATTGCCGGCCGATATTCTGATACTATAATTATTACCTCCAATGTGCAGGACAGACGGGTTAAAACAATAGTCTTTGAGAATTATTAATAGCGCACAATATTTCAGATTGAAAACGAGAAATATCACATAATAAGCAATTGATTTTTTGGATCAAAAATGTTAATTGGTTCAGATGCGTTGAGTACTAACGCTATTAATCTCGATGTTCAATTGGAAAACGCGTATGGTTTGGCTGGTGTTGGTGGTGAAATAAATAAATGTTCAACCTATTTATCCCATCAAACTGATACATAATTTAAGTGCGCAGGATTTTCTGTCAATATAACGTCGTATTTTACACATCGGAACATCCACTAATATTCGATTGATATATTTCTTCATAATTACCATGTAATATTGAAAATTTAGCAGCTAAAATAGCCAAATCAGTTGAGCCAGTTTGGCTGATAAATAGCTAAAAACAGGTGAATCCTATTCCCGACATGTGAATGGCTCATAGTTTACGATCAATCCAAGCATAAAGGAATTTCAAGATTCTAACTTATTTTTTATAATATTTTGGATCACATTATAAAGCAAAATATATCGGTAAACACTCAGCCGATACCGAAAAATTGCCGATACATCTCTAAACGTGACTACACCACTACTGGCTCGTAGCTAACCGGTCATACCTAGTTAGTGCTAATTCTATACTTCAGATAATCCTAAAGTTGGCACATCTAGTAAAATAATTAGTTTTGGCAAAACATCACATCAATACCCAGACTAAGGTCAGAAAGGTTAACAGGCATTGATTGTTACCTTCCCAGAAATCTTATTAATGTGAGGCCCGGTTTTCAATATTGATAACTAAAAAAAACGAACTATCGAAGTAGGCTGGATCTAAGAAACACGTAACGTGTGTCAATGTCGACCATATCTCCAATGTGGGAACAGTAATTGGCCAACAAACAAATTGTAATATCGCCTAAAATAGCATCACCGTCGTTTCTAGTATATCGACAACAGTAAGTTCCAAATGTTATTGCATAGACATAGTTGGTTTGTATAAAGGTGGTCCGCCAAAATTTTGGTCAGGCTCTACCGGTCCGACACTTGAAAAAGGTTGCCGACCACTGCTATAGGGCATACATGTTTAAAAACTCTAAAAAGCATAAATTACAAATTAACGATAACAACATAGTGCGCCGTGAGTTGTTTCCCTAATAAATTGCCACCGCACGGTCCCTAGATCGCCATGGCGACCCATTTAGACGTATTTTTGATTTATTTTCCATGGAACACTCGGAAGACGCTCGCGAACACTAGTGTTCCGCGGAAGACAGTTTGGAAAAGTTGGATTTGGTCCATGTCAGAGTTAATGTCAATACGTTCAGAAAAACAGCAATGAGCTAATGAAGCGGTTCCCAAAGCGTGCGCCGCGTTGAGTTGCTATGTGTGCGGCGAAAATTATTGGAATTGTGTTAAAACATAGCTAATATATGCTTAAATATTTTACATATTGTATTTATTATAAATGTTTTATTGTTTCATATTTTAAATGCTGTGTTATGAATCAATAAATTAATTTTACCTTTCTAGGCCGTTAACTTTCTGTTACGTTTTGTCTACATCTATTGTTAAGTAACAATAAATATTAGACACTAATTTTGTGAGCAGCAGTTTACTTACATGTCAAACTGAGATTAGCGGACTTTTTCGCATTTTAAAAGAAAATGAGGCAGAGACGAAGAAGAAAAGTTGTTCTTTTGCCTTTGTTCCATAGGGTATACATGTTTACAAACTTCGAAAGGCATAGAGTACAAATTAACGATGTTTTAAAATACCATTTTTTTCCTGCAAAGGCGCCGTGAATTTCTTCCTGACAATTTGACGCCGCACGGACAAGAAAGCCGGGAACCGTTGAGCTAGTGAGATCAACGTAATGTATGTTGGTTACTAACGCCCGGGGCTGCTTACTGGCATATTATTTTTTATTACGTAATTATTAATCTTACTAATTCCTTCTCTGCTTGTCCCAGGATTAATTACCTCAATTAAATGAAACCGACAGATTCCGTATCAGCGTTGTTTGATATTTACGTCCTTCCTGCGCGCGCATCAGCTGTGTTCAGATATTACTGTATATCTTGTGTTGCAGTTGGCATTTTGAAGTGTGAATACTTGAAGGACAGTTCAGGCAATTTTCGCATATATTCAGGGCGATAGTTTTGACAGGTTATACAACGCTTTGTTCGGAATGAAAGGTGCTGAAATGTTGTAGAAATAAACCTTGTTGAAAATCATGGCTTGTCGCGCAGTGGCGTGCAAAAAATTTTCTGCTGCGCGGCCGAGTTTCTGATAATGATGCCATTTTTACATTTTACCCAACTTTAAAAATAATTCGGGGATAAGCAAATATAGATGTTGTTGTACAAGAGAATGAAGGTAAAGGTAAAATAAGAGTGAAATGTTTGTATTAATAATTAAATCAAACTGAACAACAAGATCACATGTATAAAATCAAACTCTTTGTTAACAAAAAGCAAGTTACTTGCTTTCCCCTATAACTCCACTAGGCCGCCTTGTCGGGCATGTTTTTTCGCTAGTCCATCGTATCGGGCACATGTAGCGAAAGTAATTTTGAAATCTAAATAATTGAGCCTCAATTTTGCTTTATCGATAAAATATTAGGATCGTTTGTACAATGCCCCCGTCAAAGATGTGACATTTATTAAATGAAAAAAGTCCCGCCACGTTTTGAAACAATAAATTAGCGATTATCGGTTCGGGTTAAGAATGATTTAGGAAGGAAGGATTTACATATTTATCCCGGTGGGGAGGAAAGCCGATAAGACGGCTTATCCATATGGCGAACCACGGCTTCTCGTCCGATTACCATTCCATGTCGGGCATGGGATTAGCCAGTTATTTGTTTTCGGAAGCATGTACTTGATGGTGGAGGAACCACCCTACGGCGGCGAGGAGTCCAGCAATCCTCTCGCACTTAGTCATCCCCGCATGGGATTCGAACCTGCGAACCCACAAATGGTAATAAGAGATGCGGTGGCGAGCGTATTCCTAACGCTTAGCACGATGCGCCACACCGCCGAGACGATTTAAAGATTTGATTTCCAGGGCAATCTGCATTCATCGCCCTAAATGGAGAGTTATTATTATTTTTTACCGCTGGCGGGATTTTTTATTTATTTGGAAGGGGGAGGGGCGTCTACTTTGTGCAAAAGACCCGAATATGACAGTTGTGATTCTAAAA